GAAGGCCCTCTTGTCTCTCCTTGCTATTCTTTGGAAGTCTGCATTCCATTTTCTGTAACTTTCCCTATCTTCCTTGCATTTTGTTTCTCTTCTCTTCTCTGCTACAGTGGTGCCTCGCAAGACGATTTTAATTCATTCTGCGAAAATTGTCGTCTTGGGAAAAAATCATCTTGCAAGGTTCCCTATGCATCGGTCTCAAAGAAAAAAGTCTTGCAAAGCATCAATATAAAAAAAAAGTCTTGCGAAGCACGGTCATAGAAAAAAAACATCTTGCGAGGGACCATAGTGATCGCAAAAACCAATCGTCTTGCGGGTTTTTCGTCCCATGAGGCAATCGTCTAGTAAGGCATCACTGTATTTCTAAGGCCTTGTTGGACACCCACTTTGCTTTCTTGCATTTTCCTTTCTTTGGGATGGTTTTTGTTGCTGCCTCCTGTACTATGTTATGAACCTCCATCCATAGTTCTTCAGGCACTCTGTCCACCAAGTCTAGTTCCTTAAATCTGTTCTTCACTTCCAATGTGTATTCATAAGGAATTTGGTTTAGATTATACCTGACTAGCCCAGTGGTGTTTCCTACTTTCTTTAGTTTAAGTTTGAGTTTTGCTATAAGAAGCTGATGATCAAAGCCACAATCAGCTCCAGGTCTTGTTTTTGCTGACTGTATAGAGCTTCTCCATCTTTGGCTGCAGAGAATATCATCAATCTGATATCGATATTGCCCATCTGGTGATGTCCATGTGTTGCCTCTCCTCTTGTGTTGTTGGAAAAGAGTATTTGTGATGACCAGCTTGTTCTCTTGACAAAACTCAATTAGCCTTTGCCCTGCTTCATTTTGAACTCCAAAGCTAAATTTACCTGCCTTTTATCTTATCTCTTGACTCCCTACTTTAGCATTCCAGTCCCCTAGAATGAGAAGAACATCTTTCCTTGGTGTCAGTTCTAGAAGGTGTTGTAAGTCTTCATAGAATTGGTCAACTTCAGCCTCTTCAGTAGCAGTGGTTGTTGCATAAGCATGGATTACTGTGATGTTTCAGATGTTACTGTGATTTCTCAGATGCTACTGAACTTCATCTCCCAGAACTCCCAGCCAAAATGGCTAATGATTACAGATTCTTAGAACTGCAGTCCAAAAATATCTGAGGAACCATTGGTCTATACAGATCATGGCATCTAGCTCAAGAATCTGAACAGAATGTTAAAAACAAAGAAAAAAACCTATTAGGCATTTCTTGTCGTCCAGTCCGTAAACACGTACAGTGGTGCCCCACTAGACGATTACCTCGCAAAACGATTTATTTGCTAGATGATGAGTTTTTGTGATTGCTATAGCGCTTCACAAAACGGTGTTTCCTATGGGCGGTTTTTGCTGTACGACGTTTCGGTCTGTGCTTCACAAGACAGTTTTTTTCCCGGGACTGTTTTTTGCAAGATGACGATTTTGACAGCTAGGTCCGCAACTCGCAACATGGGTGTTTTTGGGACCATTTTTCGCAAGGCAGCAATTTTGACAGCTGATCCACGCATTGCAAAACGGTTTTCCTATGGCCGATTTTCACAAAACGATGACGATTTTCCCCCATTGGAATGCATTAAATGGATTTCAATGCATTCCAATGGGGAACCACATTTCGCAAGACAATGTTTTCGCAAAATAGTGATTTTCGCAGAACGAATTAACATCGTCTTGCCCGGCACCACTGTATTTAATTGAATTCTGGAAGGGAAGGGAATTAACTGTAGAACACACGTGCAATGGCCAAAGGCATGACATGTGAGACCTGCTGAAATTCTCCTTTCTGGGCAATGAATGAAGGACAGGAGCCTTGTCCTCTTTTGCAGGAGGTAAAGGTTAAATGTGAACAAGCCACCAAAAACATATAGACAAGTGCCCAAGTTCTCCCCATCCTCAATTCACTTAGCATTGTCCATTAGGAAAAAGCCTTCTAAGAAGCCACAAAAAAGTGTCAATGCTGTGAAGCTACCCACAAAATGAAATTTGACCACACTCACATTTAACCATTAAAAACACATTTAAAAGAGCACTTCATTTTTCTAAATTTACTCTGTAGTTTCATTTCTATCATCACCTCAACTTTGCATAAATCCTAAAAGTGAAATCCTGACTTATTTAAAGCTGCAGCAAAGTTTATGTTCTACAACAATGGAAACAATATTCCTATGCCTATTTCAACTTCACAATCATCTCAGAAGCCAGTTTTATTCCTCTTGTTAATTTAAAACATTTCCAAATGTTCTTCTTTTCCAAAAATGTGATTTAATGCACTACAACACAGTTTTGCTATGTACATTACTTCTAAGCCCTATATTAAATTTCCCAGATGTGAAATAGCTGTATATTTCAGGGCCTGTGTTTTCTCCTCTGGCCATCCCAGCTTCCAAAGGAGCATTTTCTGAACAGTTCTAATACTTTAAATATTTACTTTCCTTACCCGAATCTCATTTGGCAAAAGCTCAAATATTCTCTCAGCAGCCCGGCAGAGACAGCTCCAGCTGTACTGGGCAGGGCTAGGAAGTTTCATGGCTTGGTGGAGTCCCTGTAAAATATTCCAGCAAAGCTCCACATTTTTTGGCTGGTCCTTGGCCTCAAAATGCTGCACCATAAACACTTCAGTGAATGCCTGCAGTTGGTCTTCTGCTACATATTTCATCCATACAGGTAAGGAAGTGAAAAGATACTTCTTCGTTCCTATCTGGAGAACAAATACAGGATAATAGGAATCCCTAGGTTTGGGGGGTTGGGGAGGAAAGGCATTGAACACAATGGACAATTTGATTGTTTAGGTATTGTCTCAACAAATAGCTCCATCCTAAGAAGACACAGTACTTGTTAACCAAGATAATATTGCCTTGTAGTTAAAAGCAATTAAAACAAACATGCCTGCTTCCCTGCTTAAGAAAGGGGTCATTTGAAAAGCTGGGGGTGCGTAGGTCTGTAATACATGGAGTACTTTTTGGTGCTGAGAGAAATGCAGAAACACAGAAAAGGAAAGATACCCAGAAAGATCCATTCTTGATTAGTTTTACTAAGGAACAAATGATTATTTGTAAAGGTAGAAGTTGGGAACATGGCTTCTTTCAGAGTGTAACTCCCAGATTCCTTCTACCATCATGGCCAGTGGGATTTTCATAGATGTAGTCGGAAATCTTGCAAGGAGTTTAGATCTGAGGGAGAGGTGACTTCTTCCCCTCACATCTTAAAAACCTCAGAATTTTAGACATTTATATTCATGGTCTGTAGAAGAATGATACATGTCTCAGTAAAAAGATTTTCTTCCCAAGGAAAGCTTAGTTAGAATGATCATACGTACACTTAAACTACGCACTAGAGGTGGTGCTACCCACATCCCCAGGAGCACTGCCGCATTTTGAGATGACTGGACCTGAGTCACGGCTAGCTGAAGGCACAGCTGCTGGATCTCCTCACCTAAAAAGAAGACATCAAGAATAGAGACTGAAATTGTAGATATTGGTAGAAGAAGAAAGGAATAGCACACAGTCTGAACTCCTGGTATTAAATGGAAAACCACCACTCTCCACAGATTCTGCATTGTGCAGAATTATCCTCAGCATCCATATATATTTTGTGTTGGAAAACACAGTGAAAAATGAGTTCTTGATACAATCATGCCCCCCAAGATTGAAATCTTATCACAGAATGTATCAAGAAAGAAACTATTTAAGATACAGTGGTGCCTCGCTAGACGATTGCCTCATGGGATGAAAAACCCACAAGACAATTGTTTTTTGCGATCAATATGGTGCATTGCAAGACGTTTTTTTCTATGACCGTGCTTTGCAAGACTTTTTTTTATACCGATGCTTCGCAAGATTTTTTTTAGACCAATACTTCGCAAGACTTTTTTTGAGACTGATGCATAGGGAACCTCGCAAGATGATTTTTTCACAAGATGACGATTTTTGTGGAACAAATTAAAATTGTCTTGCAAGGCACCACTGTATTCCAAAGGTTAACAGCAACTATTTTGCCCAGAGTTGCCTGGCTCAAATCAAAAGCTAAAACTACAGAAACGCCTAAGATTAAATGCATTTCTGCTCCTTTAATTTCTTTCTTTCATTGCATTTATTTCTACCCTCCCCCCCAGGAGGTTTACATCCTTTCACCCATACAGATGAATATCTCTATTGGGAATGCATGCAAGCAGACATGTCTCCCCTATTCTGTGAAAGAATAAACCTGAACATGAAAAGTTTTTAAAAAAGGAATTGCAAACAATGTTGTTGGTATTTCATTAAGTGAAATGGGATGTTATTACATGGACTTGACGTTGTGACAAGACAGCAGCAGGAGGATGGAGCTCCGTATCCTGGGCTAAGTTCCTACCTGTTTGGGACCCCCCAGGGGGTTAATCCACCCCAATGAGGTGGTGAATTGGGGGAGAAGCCTGTTGATCACAGGGGGGATGGCGGTAACCCCCATTTTGATCCAGGAAACTCCTGAAATCAACCAGCAGTTGGAAATAAGCAGCTGAAAGTCATCGGCAGCCAGCAATAGAGAAGCGATAAATCAGCTAATTAACACCATTGTTACTTCTGGGTGAGATAATATTTTATAACTATACAGCTTTATGACTATCCCTGGACGAGATAATTCCTACAATAGAAATAAGCGTCTCTTATCCCCACCACTTATAGAGCAGTGGTGAATCTGGATAGAGGGAAGGAGACGCAGAAAGACACAAAGAAAATAAACTGGACACTAATTAGACATTTAATTATACTTCAAGGAAGGAAGTTTGGTATTACTTTGGTGTTAGAAATTTAAGAAATATTTCGCTTAAAATCATTATTAGCTAACCAACTCTGGAAAAGACCCTGACGTTGGGAAAGTGTGAGGGCAAGAGGAGAAGGGGACAACAGAGGATGAGATGGTTGGACAGTGTCATCGAAGCTACCAACATGAATTTGGTAGTAGTGGAAGACAGGAGGTCCTGGCATGCTCTGGTCCATGGGGTCATGAAGAGCCGGACATGACTAAACAACAACAAAACCAACTCTGGGAATCGTTAAGTTATGGCTATGTTCTGGCTATCTGTAGCGTTGGCAAAAAGCCTAGAACAATGACCTTGAACACTCTATGGCTGTCTTAAGCTTAAAAATCATTTTGACTTCCCTTTTCTTTCTGAGAACTTACCGAAGCATAGACAAAATAACCCTCGAAAGTCTAATCCTGCCAAAGTGGAATTTTTAAACTACGCTTTGCTGAGATCTCAACAAAGACAATTCATACTGGAATATATATCTGTCTAATGTGGACCTATGTGGACCAATAAAATTATTTGAATGTATCCTGGATTCCGAACTTGACTGAAACATGGGCCGGGATAGAATTAATATTGGAATGGACTGCATCAGGGGCTGGATTACAAAAGACATTAGGCCATGAATACAGACATTGAGTGAACTGCACTGTCACTTTACTTCTGAGACTGGATTCAAATTTTCAAATCTGAGACTGGATTCACCCTAAAGGTGATCAATTTATTAAAGTGGACTTACTGAAGCAATTATTGATGGAACTGGATTGATTACTTTAAGCAACTGGACATCTTTCACTTGGAATACAAGTACTTGACATCTTGGGACATAAAGCTACAACAAGGGAAACTTTGGCATGAAGCAAAATCTACTATTCAAGCAATTTTAGAAATAGTGAGAGCCCACAATAAAGAGGCGAAATAATTCAATGAGCAGTTAAGGAAGGAATTCAACAGGAGACAGGAAATAATGAACAAGGAAATATGAGGGTGGTAGATGATGGGCTGGAGGAAATCAGAGAAGAAAATTTAGGAGATAGCTGCTGTTAACCTTTGGAATATCTTAAATAGTTTCTTTCTTGATACATTCTGAGACAAGATTTCAATCTGGGGGGCATAATTCTAACCCTGGAGACTAGGAGAGTCTTGGGTGTGCTAAAGCAAGATAAGGGGAGAGAACGAGCAGATTCAATTAAAAATAGCCTGGAAGATCTATTGGAGATAGATCAAGTGAATAAAATCATCCCAAACAATACAAGGGATGGCAGAATTTTTAAAGAGATGGGAACAAGAATTGGGAAAAGACAAACAGGAGAAGGAGTTACTTGGAAAGATGAAAAGGAAAAAAGAATATTAAGGTGGCCTTCAACACTGAAAGCATGTATACACCTAATTTCTGGAATTGTAAGGGGACATATCTTATATATTAGAAAAGGGAATTAAACTGAAATAAGGGATCACTAATCAGGGTAAAGGCATAACATGGTGGTTCTTAAGGTGAGGCAAAACAAATAGTACTTAATTAATAGATATTAGATATGATATTGATATATACATGATAGTAAAGGTGGAGATAGAAATGGCTAAACAATTATATAAAGAAAATATATAAAATGCTTTAGATAACATTTACTATGCGTTAGAAATTTATTTAGTTAATATTGGTATAAAATACAAAGTCAGTTGTTAAATTGCCTCAAAATTATATAGATTTGAAACTAGAATTGCTTTTATTAGGTATTTTACTAGAGGATTTTGAGAACACTGTATACTGATTAAATCACCAAAATACAAAAATAGATAATTATAAGCAAACCCATGTAACACAATGTTTAACAAGCATGAATGTAATGTAGATATAGTGAAAAACTAATAAAATGTTATTTTTGTAAAAAGTTGTTATTACGTGAGGGGAGCTTAAAAGACCTAAACAAAAAACGGAGACCATCTGCCATTCATTTGGTTAAGGACATGCTGAAAGGAGTGCCAGTATCAGTGCTCCAGGAAAGAAAGTAATTCATTCATCAGCCTGAAGACTATCTGAAAATCAGGTGCCTGACAGAAGGCAATGAGTAATTTTTCTCCTGAAATATCTGACATCAGATATTATTAGAACAACAGGGTAAAATTATTTGCCAATAGTAGACATAGACTTGGAAAAATCATGTCTCTGCTACAAAGTTTCACAGTAAGGAGACAAACTGCAGCACCAGAAGCAGGACTACTGATTTTGTCCTCCACTAGTTGTTTTCTAACTACCACCACACACCCTTAATATGACAAATACAAGTAAAAAAAAACCTTAAACTCAGTTAAACAGGAAGGATTCAGATATAAAGAGACACTTTCCATCTCTTCAGTGCAAATCACACCTGTCTCCCATTGGATATCCTGCAGGGAAGCAGTGTCCCCTGCTTCCTAATCTCATGCTCGCCACTATCGTTTTTGAGAAATGCATGACGTTGCACCACCTTTCTTATTTTCGTTATCCTTCCTCCTTAAAATGCATGATCTGGATCTCAATTTTGAGAGGAGGCTTGTCTTTGTTTTCAAAAATACATGCTAATCTGGAATTAGTTAAGATGAGGGAAAGTTCATACTGTACTTGTATTTGTCATATCTAGGTTACTGAGTTATGAGCACTCCTTTACAAATGTGCTTACTAAATACAAAGCCTCTAAAATACGTTGCCCCATAGCTATACCAAACCTGGGAATTGTAACTTTATTTCTTTATAAGAGATCTTGCCCACTATAGCTGGATGCCCTCTAGATGCTGACTGTGGCCATCCAGTTGGTGAAGGACTGCAAACTTATTTGTCCTAGGTGGAAGGGAAAATGTTCTTGCTGCTATAAGGCTCTCTCAACAGGAGAACAAACTTTTATGAGGCATTTAAAAGCCTTGCAAGATACCTGGCTTCTAGCCCTCAAGATACCTGAAATTTACATGAAAGGTTCCAGTTGTGTGCAAAGCACTCACCTGCACAAACAGACACAGAGGCACAAAAAGAGTGGCAGGTTGTTAAGAAAGATGCAGACAACTGATATAGTACTTCAGATCCTTTTTTTTTTAAAGCAATCGATAGCCTAGGTAAAGGTAAAGGTTCCCCTTGACAAATGTTCAGTCGAATTTGTGGCAATTCATTCTATATACTGGACTGTTTCAGTTGGAATAATAGATTGCACTCAAAATAAATTAGAAGAATTGAAAATGAGGTCAAGATCTTGTGGGATTTCAAGATCCAAACTGATAGACATCTTGAACGTAATACACCAGACAGAGTAGTAATAGAATGAAGAAATGTCTGAATCATTGACATTGCTATTCCAGGGGATGCCAAAGTTGAAAATAAAGAATTGCAAAAACGAGCAAAATACAATCGAAATATCTCACTTGTGGATGAAACATATGTCAGTGGTCCCCGTAGTCATCGGGGCTTTGGGAACAATATCAAGAAATTTCACACAGTGCTACAAGCAGTTGCAGACCTCAGAAATCACCCCATCAGAGCTACAAAAAATGGCAATATTAGGGACAGTATACGTACTGTGCCAATATTTAACAGATACTTAAGTTTTTCATTAAAACTTGTACCTGTTTACAATACTAGTCAGTGTTTTTATAATTTTGATTGACTGTGCCTGGTGGT